AAGGGAAAGTCCTCTCCCTCCTCGCCCCCGTGGCGGCCGCTCCCCACGGGCGGCGGGACGCTGAGCATCAAACCGGGGAGCCTCCGGCGGGTCCCAATTCAGGCAGGTGAAGCACGGGCCGCTTAGCCAGTGCCACTAGAGATAACACCCATAAACCTGTTTACTGGTTTAATACCGTTGTGTATCATGCTAAAGAACTTGTGAAAACCATCAGCGGGGCTCAGACTCCAGGGAAACACGAGGGGCTGAATGGATGAAACCTCTGGCTAGTTCGGAGAGCTGGATTCCAGAAAATACCATGACTTGTCTTATTCTGTAGATTTTCACCCCACCAGGCAATCCGGAGTGAGCTGGTGGAGGAGGGGGTGAGCAGCAAACAGCATGCTTTCCCTCTCTAATCGGTTAGAGCCATTACATTAATTAGTGTTTACTCCAGATTTAATACAGTAAGAGAGATAAGAGTGGCTGCAAATTAGGCATGCTTTCTATAGATAACAATAAACTAATCCGATCTCCTATTGTGCTTCTCCACTCCCTTTACAGCCACGGTGTTGGGCCTCAGTCCTTCATGCAGGCGCTGCCGTTGATGGGATTGCGATACAGGGCCCTGGAAATCTGTGGCCTGCAGGAAAGAAGCCACAGTCCGTACCGGCTGTAAGGAGGAAGAACTTCATGGCACCCTGATTATTTCAGGAACTGACTTTCTCTCCATGGCTTTTCTGCTTTTCTAATCTCACGGAGGATTACAGCAAACATTAGTTTTCTGACATAACTTTATTTTTCATAAAGGCAAGTAAGAGAAGCAAATTCAACCCCCACACCACCTAGGTGGCTTCTGGGAGGAGATGAATGGGATCTCTCTCCCTCCTTTTTCAGCACTGTTCTTTTTTTCAGAATCTCCAGTTGCCAAGGGAAAAGTGGGTGCTTTAGTGACAAAAAAAAGAAAACTCCATAAACTCTGATACAGTTTGAGACATCACCATGGGAAACATCTGCTGTATTTTGAAATCTTATAACTACAACTGTTAGTAACAGGTGTCCTCCTTTGCATATTTTTAAGCTTTTCAAGCACAGCAACTATAATAAAGCTTAGGTTCCTCGGGGGGGGGGGAAGGGGAAACCGACATAAATTTTCTATTTCCAGAAAAAATCAAAAGATCATTTTTCTAATATTAGGAAACTCTCAAGGGATTTAAATATTACTAGACTGATGTCCTTTAGTTTTCATCAGATTTTGCTGGAATTGCAAAGAAAGTCATTGAAATACCACTTTAAACAAGAGCAGCAAAATGAATGCTGTCATGCAAATACCATTTTCCATATTTTCCATTTCCTCTGTGCATGCACACATACAAATCAAAATTTGAGCTCAACCCACCTATCCATCAATGCTGCAGCACAGTGCAGTATTTATTGAGCGGCTCCTTTGCTTTAACAGCAAAGAATTTCACTTAGATTAGGCGAGTATCTTTAAAAATATATGACCTAGAATAAAAGTTAACATAGTAAGTCCTTTACTAACTGCCATCAGCAGAGCTAGTCATGTCAGCAGACAGCTGACTGCAGGCTTCCCATTACAGGGTTATCAATACCAAGCTGCAACTGTCCTTCCCGCTATCACGATGCTAATTGTGTGCCAGAGCCCACCCTCAGCTCGCGCCCGCACCCTACACCGGCCACCGCCACACCACAGGCTGTCTACCTCTCCGCACCGCAATATTTCTGCTCCCACTGACAGCCTCGGCTCCCCCGAGACCCTGAGCAGCCATCTCCTTCCACCTGTTCTGACTGGCCCAGGGACCAGCAGCTGGTGGGGTCCAGGCGATGCAGCTGCCAGTGTAGATTATGGGGATGTAGTAATTGCATACCGACAGCTGGGGAGGGGGAGATAATAGCCAGAGAGAGGGGAAGAGGAACTGATGTTAGTGAACTGGCTAAAATAAAACAAATACAAACCCCAAGAGCACTACAGGAGCAGCACTGGAGAAGACAGATGTAAATCTTACATACTGCTGACAGCTGCTTACATCTGGTGAGTGGGGAGAGGAGGAGAAAGGAGTGTCTTTAAAGGCAAAAGCCAGAGATAGAGAGGAGTGACTGCTTATAGGGACCTTTGAAGTGCCAGATAACAGAAGGACTCAGACAGGACCATTTTAATGGCCTGCAGCTTTGTTCAGTGTAATGGGTCCTGGATTGTGCCTCCACTGGTTTTGCAGGAAAGCAGCTGCTGGGATCAGAGATGCTAGGTGCTGTACAAACACACATGGAGGGATCACCCTGTTCCAAAAAGCGTAGTGCCCTGTTTGGAATCAAGACCTCCCAAGTATATTCAGCCACAGGAGAAGAACGGCCTAGTTCCTTCTTTTAACCCATAATTTCTCTTACAGGCAGTGCCCCATCCTCAACACCCATCATAACTCCATGACTCCAGAGATGCTCTGTGCAGGTCAGGCATGACATCCCTCCCATGCGGAGCGGCTACTCTGCTTTGCAGACATAGCTACCCACAAAAGTTGCTGTGTCTGCCACCGACACCCTGGCCGCCTGCCGGGACACTTGTCCTGAGAGCGGTTACTTCCCCTACCTTTAGTCCAGTCATAGAATCATAGAATGGTTTAGGTTGGAAAGGACCTTGAAGATCATCAAGTTGCAACCTCTCTGCCATGTCTATTCATAGTTTCAAGGCACAAGTATGGTATAATGTGCCCACGCAAACCACCTGCTGCTGCCTTAGCTGCCGGGCACAGCCCCGACGGATGCCGGTGGCACGGGAGAACAAGAACCATGGCGAGGGCCAGGAGGAGCCGAAGGAGGTGGCAGGGGGAAGAAAGACCCCACCGCTGAGCCAAAACACGCGCCCCACCTCGCTGCCTTCGCCCCACGGTGGTGGCGGAGAGGGAGAGGAAGGGGGAGGCCCACACAGGAGGGTCGCTGGAGCTCCCCGCTCCCCCCGCCG